GGGGGAAGAAAACATGCATGACTTCCCATAACAAACAAGCTACTGAGGGTTGGTGGGTGGAGGCGCAAGCATTTAAATAATCTTATCGATAAAAATCGTAAATGGAATTTTGAATTTACGATTCAGAATTTCGATTCTTTTATCACTATAACTCGAAATTTCAATTTTGGCCATTTTTCTTTTGACTACTTCTTGAAAAGGAACTTCAAAAATCGGAAATGGAATTCTAAATTCAATTTTCGAATTTTTAAAATACAAAGATTTGGCGCGTTTTCTTAGTTTTAAAATAGGAATAATACTTTTACAAGTCCATTTTTATGTTTTTAATATATTGAAAATTGAATGGCGAAATGGTACATGCATTCATTTCAAATTTCGAAAATTGGAATTTGAATTTTGATCGTGATTTTCAAAAATTCTATTTTTGAAAAATGAGTTTCAGATTTCAAATTTTGCTTTTCATTTTTTTTCATTTCCAAAAGATAAACTTTGAATACGGTTTCAATTTTTTAAAACACGTTTTTCATACTTCCAAAATTGGAAAAATCATGAGCGCCAGTATTGACGTTCCCCCTTCCCTGCGAACGAACTTGTTTTGTATAAAATGCACCCCCCAGGTTTTCTAAATATTTCCAAGATGGCCGTCGTGCGGCGTCTACAGCAATGGAATGATGTATGTGCTTTCTTTCCAAATCATACATATGTAATTCGGTAAAACTCAGATTCAACGGTTGCAAGACATTTCTTTCTGCATGGCCTTTGATATTTCAAGTAGTTGGAGTCAAGATAGCGGTGTTCTGGAGCATCAATCTGCTTAAGTAAAGGCGGAAGGCCGAAATTTCTTGAATTCTTCATCGGACACTTATAAAGAATGGTACAGTAATCTTTTACTTATCTGGGTGCCGAGCTGATTACGTGAATGAGTGGCAGCCGTGCAATTGAGCTGAGATGAGTAAGTATATTATAACGATTTTAACTTTAATACTAGTACACGTAATAAGCTATTTTCACAAGTTAAGCTTTTAAACTATGACAAAACAAAACAATTTTTCTTATCTAGATACCATAACGATGCATGGGCATAACAAATTGTTCCATTTATGAAGACTGATTATGATATCATAATTGGTTTTTATTCCAAAATTATTCTAATTTCAATTTAGAGTTGCTACAGTGAAAGAGTTTGTAGAGTGTCCACTGTATGTTGGTGTTGTTTGATGTTTGTTGATGATGTTTGTTGGTGTTGCTATATGACTCTTCCTCAGTGTTCAATGCATCAAACATCCTTTTAGTCAATCATACGTTAATGACTCTAGCCAATTAATTAGATATGATAAGTTTGACATCTCTATATTAATTCCTCCATATAATATTATTGTCTTAGATTTCCAGACTGCCATATTTGTCATGTATCAATACCCAGTTTTGATACACACTACAAACTTGACTTGACTACAAACACCATGGTTCACATTGTATACAAGCAATACCCATGGATGATACAAAGTGCTAAAATCAAAGTAAGGTACTTAGAAATTATACTGAAAACAGGCATAAATACTAAAAACATGCATTTATGCATGCATTTTGTATTAGAGTGTTTTAAAGGTGCTCCCAAAATATAGTGTTTTTTTCCTTGYCATCCAAAATCATGTTTGCAATGTCACACGATTACACTAAAAGGGGTATTTCCTGTATGTTTGAGGCCTACACAGACTAMATTTAATGGTGTTTTTGTTGATATTGGTTGTAACCAGAGCATCTAGATTATCTCAAAAGATGAAATGTTGACAAATTCACACAATTACCCTACACTAAAAAAGTGGTATTTTGTGCATGCTTGAGGCCTAGTGAGATGAAATTTAGGTGTTTTTGTTGAGACAAGTTGTAATCAGCACCTCTAGTCTCAAATATATAAAATGATGTTCAGGTCATTTCTTTCAGACACTTAAGAGTCTATGTCAGAGAAACCGTTCCAATACATAAAAGTTGTGGTCAACCAATTTGGCTGAAACTTGGCACAGAGGTTGGGCTTGATGAGATATAGTAACAGCCACCTTGAGTTCCTTCTCTGATTTTTTATTCCAAAGKTACAGGGGGGGTCACAAATTGGGCCTTCGAAGCATGAAAATCCAAGTKTTTAGTAGTCATTTTTGAAGTGCTATATAATCCCAAAACCAAACTCTGCTGCTAAATGAGTTTGATCATAGAAAACTACTATGATGCCTCTTTATTTTATGCATGTAACTTAGATGGCAGGTCATTTGATGCAGGGGGGGGGGGGGGGGGGGGGGGGGGTTCTGGGGCTACATTTGGGTCAAATTTATGCCAAAACACAAAACCCAATTTGGGCATTTTTCAAAAAATCATTAACTTAGCCTACCTTTTTGAMTACTTTTGAAACTTATACCAGAGAGTACCTCGACACTTCGATTACCAATATCAGGTGAGAAACATTTGGACTTATAAATTTTACTGGGCTTTGAGGGGGGTAGTTCCCATTCCACTTCACGGTAGTCCAAACAACAATATGGACCACATATTACTAGAGTACCAGGCTATTTTGTATATAAAACTTTCACTTTGCAAGAAGATACATCAATAATAATACATGTAGCCTGTTTAAGCATATTTTTTTTGAAAATACAGGAACTTTTTAGTCCCCAAAACTCCTATAAAAGGCCTCTTGTTGCCATTAATAACACTAACATATTCAACTTATGAAGGTATTTCAACAGAAAACATTATTCAAACAGAAAGTTTAATTCTGTTAAGCAAGTATTCTGAAAGGATAACATAATCAATATTCGAGTGGCAAAATTTACATAATGTTTGCAACTGACATACTGAGCCATGCTATACTCCAAAAAAGTCTCACTGTATTTGTCCATCCTTTCTTATAGTGATATGTTTCCCATTACATTCTATCAAAATATTGTGATTTAACAACGATAATAATTGCTTGAAACTATTATGAACTGACCTGTATATATCTTRACGAAATTTAGTAATTTGCTTGTAATAATAGCACCAAAACGYAATGTGCATTAGAGTCAAGTAAACATTCCAGTCACAACCGTTCGATCGCATCATGTTTGTCAAACAGGCGAAGATGATACACAAAATCTGTGCCTCGAGCAACAAGATAAATAGACTTAGATAGATAAACAGACTGTTAATGAAATTAAAATGTAAACAATACGTGATTGTCTCTCTCGTCCGCCATCTTGAAACTCAGGGGAGGACTGGATCGAGCTCATAAATGCATTGCCGCCACAATTGTTTTATTATATTTCGTGAGATACATTTACATGTCGTTATGGCTTTTTGTTCGTTTAGTGATCTTAATAATGAGTGTGGTGCAACATCATGGGCGCCACAAGATGCAGGAATGATCCCATTACTTTCATGCGATAAAAATATCACAGGGTGGCTGAAGGATAAGTACAAGGGCTCAGGTGCGTCAGGAGCGAAAGTCAGACCGGTAACGGTAAAAAGCACAGGTGAGTAATKAAATCTCT